TTCAAATTTGCCTCAAATTCGGTTCAAATTCGGGACCGATTTCCCCGCGCGCACAGCTTTACACCGGGACATATGTGCCGCTGCGTTGTTGCTGTTGTTGTTGTCGTTGTGGTTGTGGTCCGCGCTTGTTGTTGTTGCTGTTGCTGCTGCTGGCGCTGTTGTTGCTGCTGTTGTTGTTGGTGGTGGTGGCGGTGGCGGGGGCGGTGGTGGCGGTGGCGGTACACATGGTGGTGGTGTTACGGCGGTGGTTGTGACTTTGGACTGGTTGTTGTTGTTGTTGTTGTCGTTGTTGGTGGTGGTGTTGTTGTTGTTGTTGTTCTTGTTGCTGTTGTTGTTGTCGTTATGGTTGTGGTTGTGGTTGTGGTCCATGCTCGTTGTTGTTGCTGTTGCTGCTGCTGGCGCTGTTGTTGCTGCTGTTGTTGTTGTTGGTGGTGGTGGCGGTGGTGGTGGTGGTGGTGTTGCTGCCGTTCTTGCTCTTAGTCTTTCACGATAACATCAACCGAGTGGCCCGTGACTTCGAGGTTCTTGAACTTCATGGGCCTGGTAGCCGCCCGTGTTGCTCGTGGTTCCCGGTCGTTCCCGGGACGCCTGGGATCCTCGAACTCCATAATCAAGTCCTCGCAATACGATGGCTCGTGCATGCCACCAGCGATGCAAACGAAACCATCATGCACGTAGATCTCGTACTCCTCTTCATTCCTGCGGAGTGCCGGCAACTCCACACTGCGCCCGCTCCCTTTGTGACTCAAGGTAAACGTGCCGGTTGACGGGTTCTCTTCCTCAGCTGTCGCGTGGTTGCCTAAAACTTAGAATTGTACTGAAGAAACTGCACATGACACTCCAATCACTCAGGGACACGAGCTTGAAACCGTTGTAGGGGTCGTCCTTGTGTCCCGAGCTCGTGTCCGTCGCAACCATTCGGGCCTCCCGCGCTGTGTCGCTGGGGTTACGACAAAAGTCCACCACCTCATTGGGAAGCGGTGCCGGCTTGCCGTGCTTTCCTTTCTCGGGCAACTTCCAAGCAAAGCCACCAAGGTCTGCTCGACGAATCCGGCCGCCCTTGAAGAGGTGGAACTGCCATCTCATATACATGTGCTGCTCTTTGACAGACCAACCCGTGTGCTGGGCCGGCTTCCCTCGTTTCGCGTACTGGGCATTGGCGGCAGCCACAACACTTGCACAATCATTTCCTGGCTTTGGGTCTTCTGGCAACCATCCCGCATTGAAGGCCAAGCAGGAGAACAAACGAACCCGACTTTGGTCTTTCATGCAATCCTTGTGGAGATAGGTGGGGTCAACATCCTGCAGCCAATCCAAAATGTGCGAGTCCTCGGTGACTCTGTCTGAACGGTCGCATGTTGCAATGAAGTTACGGCACGCGGCATGGTCGCAACAGCGACTGAGGAAAGCACGACGAAATCGGCCAGCTTGGCTTGACTTTTGTACGTTGTCTGCTTGACAAGTCGGCGTCCCTGCTGGCTGCGGCTAAGATGATTGGGCGGGTTGCTGGCCTTAGCCACAGCTTTTGCCCCGCTCCTGGGCAGCTGCTTGTCTGGTCGATGGGCTCCGGGCTGCACGTTCGGAAACCTCAAACAACCCAGGCACAATGCAGCTCACTTCCATGCAACGTCTGGCAGTCCAAGTGGCATGGTGTGATCATCATCACATGAGCTCGACTCATCTGCTGGAAGATTGTCTTCCAGGATACGGTGTGCCGGGACCACCGCCCGAGACCGACCACGCTCTGCATCGTGCTCGGGATAGCGACGCTCTGGGGCCCGATTTGAATGAGGGGGCGGCGGATCCGGTGCGCCCCGCTTCTTGCCACGCGAAGGAGGCGGCGGTGGCGCGGTTCTCTTCATATGGCAACACTGGATTCAACGCAACACAACAGTGACACTACTCTCTGAAATCGGCTCAAACCTAGAAGCTTCAGTGATCTCTCCATGCACACAATAGGAACAGCACGCTGCTCAGGCTTCCAAGCGGCATCAGCACGAACTCTGTCTGAGGCAGCACGACCAGTACTCTTTTGGTCAGGGGCGCACGTCAGGATCCCTGATCATGTCATGCAATGCAATTACTAAGCAGCATCTCGCATCCTGTAACAGGACAAAGCCACTAGCTGAACAACGGCTGCGGTAGAGAAGTGAAACGAGTTACCTGCAACCGATGAAGCACGGAGGTGGTCTACCACGGGCAGCATTGGCACCCCCATCGCAATGGCGGTGTCCTTCGTCACTGGAAATCCCAGTGCACTGAGCTTCTCAACAGGAACCATCCACCTTTGCAAAAACGGGATGTACAACTTGCCACTCCCTCTTCTCAAGGTGGGGATTTTCCCAGAGTGTGCACTCCATATCAAGCGGTTTTCCGGGTTGTCGCCCAGATGCACCACAAGATCAGGATCAGAGGCAGCCCTTCTCTGGAAAACATTGCGGTAGCGCTGACGCACACATTTCCAAGCCCGTTGTTCTCGTTCATTGAGCAAAGAGTCCAGGCGACGCGCCTCACCAGTGTGCATCAGACCGCAAAGCCAGCACGTCACACCGCAACACAGCAGGTTCCGCTACATGAGAGCCAGGACACCTTCCGGAAGACCACGTTGCGGACCCTGGCCGTGTGTTGTGCTTCTTGAAGCACCTGGTTTCGTGTAGCCACAAAGTAATCCCTCGGACGGGTTTGGACTCGAGCTTTGATGTTGTCAGTGACCTGGTCATAGACAAAGCTTGGGTCGTGCACCTGCTCCACTTGGCCGAGCCTGGCCAGGATCAGGTAGGTTCTAGCTCGGGCAACAGCTGCGTGACCTTGGTCACTTGGAGTTACCCAGAGCTGCTGGATATCGTAGTAGCGGCCATAGAGCAATCTGATCATGTGCATGTCCAGCTCCTGCAGACCGCAGAGAACAAGCTTTTTCTTTGTTCCTAACTTGTTGTTTGGAAGTTATACTTTTCTATTTGTGGGTTTCAAGTTTTTAAGCTGAGGGCTTGAGGAAGGGGCTGTATGGGGTTTGAGGGTACCGACCAAGTTAGAGGATTTCCGTGTTTAGGGGATCCAGTGTGCTGTCTGGCTTACTGGCTCGCGCTGCATTGACTCAAACCCACGAACCACACGAACCCGGTCCTGCACATTCTCAATGACAAGCAACGGCGTGCCCAAATGTATGTGAAGCTTCGCATGACACGCAAACACAGTGCCTGTTGGGCCTTCTCTTCCTCGCCTCTGCCCAGCCCTACTGAAATCGGGGCAGGGCAAGCCACTGATGTCGTAGTCCGGCTTCTTTGCAAAGTCACCCAACACAGAGCACACCATCCCATGCTGATAGCAGTACTGGCCTGCACAAAAGTCGGCCCTGTCAATGGCGCGAACCCTCTGCATAAAGGTACCATTCGGGTCCACGCTGCCGGCTGGCAAAATGTCTGTCAAATCACCATGCACGCAGGGAAGCGGGCGCTGGCCAACAACTTCCTCGCACCAGCGAGCGTGGTCTGTGATCAGCTGGCGGCATCTTGCCGACATCTCCTAGGCACGCGCATGAGCCAATGTTCTGTGAACAGACCATCATGTCAGGGAACAAAGACAGACACAGACACAGACGCACACACCCACACACACACACACACAAACCCGCACAACCTCACAACCCCCGACCCCTACACCACCCCCACACACACTCCACACCCCACAAGCTCCCCCCCCCCCGCCCGATTTCTCCACCGTTTCTTAAGCGTGCCAAACCCCCACACCCCGTGCACCCTCACAGTCACAGACCCACTCACCCAGCCACTCAGACTCACGCACTCCCACAAGTAAGTGGCATGCTTCCTCACACCGTACACCTGCAATGCAAACGCGTGCGACGCAGTTCTGAGCACCTGTCATGAACTCGCACTGGAGAAAAAACCAGTGGCCGTGGCAACTGTCCACTCTCGTTCACTGTCTTCTCTATAACCGCCAATGCCATCTCACCAGTGTAAGCGCCGGTACAGCTCGAGGATGTATAGCTCACCCGGGCTAGCATCGATTCCTGCTCGGTTTCACACACACACAGAGACAACATTGATCAGTTTACTGCGTTGGTGGCTCGACTCCCGAGACGGACAACACCTTCATTGGCTGCGACACTAACACTGATAGGTCCTTCAAATGAGAACGTCCACAAACTCGCACAATCGTCGACCACGCAAGCTGCACGCAGCGAGCACACTGCGCGAGAGGCACATCCTCGACCATGTCCTGCATAAAGCGAAGGCTGCCAAAGTCAGCCGGGTCATTTAATCTGCGCCGTCAGTTTCCGGCCTCCTCGGGAGATGAACTACACCGCACTTCTGAAGATTGGGTCCAAGGCGGCGCATCCGAAGCTGTGCCACTTTCCATGGAGCACACGCTCTCAGACCCTGACATCCCAACCTACGGCTAGGACCTAGGACAGCAAATGAGCCGCTGGTTCAATCGAAGTGAGCACAGAAAGTCAGCTGAGCAAGCCAGTTGCTGTTTAATTTTGCACAATCGCACTACCTGAGTTCGCAGCCAAGGGCGGAGCCCACCCACCAAGCTGGTGCTCTGGTGAATAAAGCCAAAGAAGCTCTGTGGCCTGCTTCCCCACTGTGGATGCGTCCATGAAAACCTGCGCCGGTCCACACAGGCACGCTTGGCTTGTTCCGGGCACACGAGCAAATTCGACCCTCAGGCGTGGACGTGGAAGCATTGGCAGGTTCTCAGCAAAGTGGCCAGATGGCAAAAGTACGTGAACTTAGCCGCAGAAGGCACGCACGCTCACCAAGTTTCCAAGTCTGAGTGTCTCAGGCCCCAACCATTGCCGGCGCATGAATCTGCGCCCCTTTCAATTTCAGATTGCGCCCGACCGCTGCCACGGCCTTCGAGACAAGCTTCTCCTTTGATTGGGGCAGCGACAGCGACGCACGAGCACACGAAACATACACAAACATACCATACAGCTGCACATAAAAGATGAACAGGACAGGCGACCGTCCCGTCCCAAAGCTTGCGGACCACTCTTTCCGTCAGTACACGGACCACATGATGTTTCCGTTTCTGTTTGCTTTTTACTCGTTGCAAGTCTGTCATAACCTCTGCATCTCGCTGCACCTTCGAGCACGCAGAGTCTGTGTACTCGGCGATCTCCGACAGAAGGTTGAGCACACGGCACAGCACGGAATCTTGAATTGCTGCTGTGTGCTGTGGGTCCAGGGCGAAACAAAGCAATTCCGCCAGTGACACTTGTTCCAAGCCACTCGCACTCGAGATCCAAGGTTTCTTGTCGTTCCTGCGATCAGCCTCCCAACTGTCTTGGACATGCTGGTCATAAAACTCCGTTGTCCAAAAATCTTGACCCGACAGACGTCCTCCGAAATCCACGGCCAGATGTAACCGTTCATCGTCTCCAAACCGGTCGTGCTCAAGCGTGAACCCACCCGTCGTGCTAGCCAGCATCGACAAAAGTTTTGCAAACCCCTTGCATGCCTTGGCCCTGTCCACTCTGGTCTTGTGTTTGTGGTTGATGCTGTATGCTGCGGTCGCCAGAAGCACGGACGTGGTTATTGTCCGCTCCTTGAACCATGCATCCTGATCCGCGTCACATCGCCTTTTGCTGAAAGGGTTCTGCTTGGGTTCCCTTTCCGGGACTACAAAGCCAGGCCAAATCATTCGGTGGTAATCTCGGATGTTCTGCTTGGCTGACCGAAACAGTTCCAAACGCTTCGAGTCTTTGTGCGTCCGGAAGAACAGCCAAAGAGCCTGCGCTGGAGGTGAAGCAGTTTTGCCAGCATCGTGCGGTACTACGCTCAATGACAGAAGAGAACCCAGCCTCTGCTGCCACCCATTCACACTGAACTTTCTCGGAGGTGTAAACCGTGATGTCCGTGCCCGCCACGTGCAACAAACCTGACGCATGAAGACTTGGAGGGGAAAATTTCTGAGTGTTAGTTGTTGCGCGGATCTGGCACCGAGACCGGCGCTCCGTGATTTGAAGAGTAAAGAATCATCGACGTCGTCATCCGAATCCGCCATCAGGACCACTGCCTAAGTTTTGAAATCAACACGCTTGCCCTATTCGCTGCTGTCGGGATCGCGTCAGCCCCCGACTGGCGCCGAACAGCGGGCTTCCACCCGAGAACCATGCCGCAAGGAGGCAAGGTGAAGTCACAGCGGTTTGTCACACGTTGTTAGTTTGTGCTCCATGCTGGCTGAATGGGAAAAGCAGATCAGTGCATGCTTTAACTTGCGTGTGTCATGCTGCTGCGCGCAGGCTGTGGACGGGCAGTGTTAAAACAAGCAGCACATCCAGAAAATTTGGAAGCTCACTGAGATCGATTCACGTCCCCACAAGCAATGCTTAATTAGACCTTGATTCGGCTCTAATCGGTGTGACAACGAAATAAGACCAAAATAGATTTATTCCAGCCTTATTTCTTTATGTCGCTCCCCCCGGAAGAGTAGCCTATCAAAGCTCTAATAAGGGACTATCAAGGGGGGGGGTAGTTAGGAGGGGGTTAGGCTAGGATTACATGATCTGAGTTTGCTCTGGCTTGGTGCTACACTGACCTACCAGACCCTCCTGCGGGGTCAGTCGAGCATTAAAGTCTCCTGCCAAGAGAAAAGTATCTCGCGCTGGAATGGCCCGTATCGCAGCCGACAGATCGCGGAGCAGGTGTGAGCGGTCATCCTTGTTCTGCTGTGGAGTCTTCTTAGAAGACCAGGCATGTTGGTAAACCGCTAGTACATGCACACGAGCCCCAAGCCACGGGAAGATGACCTGAATGAGCCTTCCCCGGAGTTGCTCGCGCCATCTTATCGTCTGCTTGTCTATCTGCGGAGAGAGAAGAACCATGACGCCGTCCGCTCGGCTTGTGTCGTGAACAGCCGGCTGCGTGGCAGCGCCTTGCTTGGGGCGTTGCCCTGAAGTGGCTTTACCTTTAGGTGCTCGAGCAGCCCCTTTTGTGGCGGAGCTTACGCAGTGCCAGCCTTCGACATCAAATTCTGCTGTCTCACTCCAGTGGGTTTCCTGAAGGACAAGAATGTCACAGACTGACTTGGCCTCCGTGCGAAGCCATGTCTTCACTTCTGCCCATTGTTGCATGCCAAGGTGCCCTGCATTCCAGGAAAGAACACGAAGAGACTTGCTGGCACGACCGCCTCTCGGGCGCGAGCGGAAACTGGCGGAGAAACCTGAGGGACCTGAAGGAGAAATCGTGGAGCGGGGGGAGGGGAGGGGGGGTGAGTCCACTGCGACGCAGATGTTCAGGCGTCAACGTACCATTCCGGTACGGGATGCTTTCTTGTGTTCTATGAACCTTATTGCAAGCCTTGCGAAAGGCCTTCTTGCGAATGCTCTCAAATGAATGCTGGTGCATTGGCGATTGCGCCGTCCGCTAGTTTCGCCGGAAAGAGAGAACTCGAACCGACTCCTTTCACCCTGCGGAAAAGGTGAAAACCACTACCGCTTACCTCATGCCAAGGTTGTATAACTGCAGACAGAGGTCCGGGAATTGGGACCCGGTAGATCACAGCGACACGCGGCTCCGGGAACAGCTATGGCTCAGTAAGAGGACGGTCCCTTAAGCTTCGCAGAAGGGGCACGTTGCGAGCCTCTAGCGTTGGTACCCAGAGCCTTGTTAGCAAAGCTACACAGCCTGCTGTGATCCATAGCGGCTACAACAACAACAACAACAACAACAACAACAACAACAACAACAACAACAACAACAACAACAACACAAACAACAACACCAACAACACCACCACCACACCACCACCACCACCACCACCCACCCCCACCACCACCACCACCCCCACCACCACCACCCCACCACCACCACACCCCCCCACACCAACCCAACACCACACCACCAGCGCCAGCACCAGCACCAGCAAACCATCAACCAGCAAACCAGCAACCAGCCACCAGCACCAGCCACCAGCACCAGCAACCGATCACCAAGCAACCAGCAACCAGCACCAGCACCATCACCATCCCCAATTCACCCCACACCAGCAACCAGCACCACAACACCAACACCAACACCACGACCAACGACAACGTCATCGACACGACAACGACAACGACAACTACGACGACTACGACGACGACGACACCAACAACAACAACAACAACAACAACAACAACAACAACAACAACAACAACAACAACAACAACAACAACAACAACAACAACAACAACAACAACACAACAACACAACAACAACAACAACAACAACAACAACAACAACACCAACAACAACAACAACAACAACAACAACAACAACAACAACAACAACAACAACAACAACAACAACAACAACAACAACAACAACAACAACAACAACACACAACAACACACAACAACACACACAACAACAACGCACAACAACACACAACAACACACACAACAACACACTACCAACAACAACAACAACAGCAACAGCAACACCAGCACCAACACCAACAACAACAACAACAACAAAAACAACAACACAACCAACAACACCAGCACCAGCACCAGCACCAGCACCACCACCAACAACAACAGCAACAGCAACAGCAACAGCAACAGCGACAGCGACAGCGACAGCCACAGCCACAGCCACAGCCACAGCAACAACAACAACACAAACAACACCAACACCAACACCAACACAAACAACACCAACACCAACACCAACACCAACACCCACACCCACACCCACACCCACACCCACACCCACACCCACACCCACACCCACACCCACACCAACCCCAACCCCAACCCCAACACCACCAACACCACCAACACCACCAACACCACCAACACCACCAACACCAAACACCACCAACACCACCAACACCACCAACACCACCAACACCACCAACACCACCAACACCAACACCCAACCACACCCCACCCAACACCAACACCACCAACACCACCAACACCACCAACACCACCAACACCACCACAACACCACACCACAACACCAACAACAACAAACAGCAACAACAACAACAACAGCAACAACAGCAACAACACCACCAACACCACCAACACCACCACCCCACCACCACCACCAACAAAACAACACCAACAACAACAACAGCAACAGCCAACAACACAACACCAAACACACAGACCAAGACCAAGACCAAGACCAAGACCAAGACCAAGACCAAGACCAAGACCAAGACCAAGACCAAGACCAAGACCAAGACCAAGACCAAGACCAAGACCAAGACCAAGACCAAGACCAAGACCAAGACCAAGACCAAGACCAAGACCAAGACCAAGACCAACAACAAGCCCAAGACCAACAACAACAACACCACAACAACACCACCACCACCAACAACAACAACAATAACACCAACAACAGCAACAACAACAGCAGCAACAACAACAACAACCACACTACACGCACGAACGCTCGCGAGCTCACTGAACAGCATGCCACAAACCGAGCGGACGAGCAATGTTTGATCCGCTCTAGCATGGGGTTGAGCGGTCACAAGACGAGCTAACGAAGAGCATCAGAAACGACCGGCCCCCACCCCAGGACAACGACAACCCACGAACGGAGTCGTCGTCGTCGCAGTCGCTCGAACCCGCAACCGGCGAACCCTTCCCGGGACACCAGACGCGAGAGCATCTCGAACAAATTCCCTTCGTTCGAAATACGAGCAACCTCCCCACCTCTTAATAGGGCGGGTTGGGTGGGACAAAAAGATCCTTCACGGATCGAGACGATCGTCTCGACCCAAAATGGCCACGGATCAACGTGGTGAACAAAAGTCTGAAGAGAGCATGCTGATCTCATGCTGCAGTGTGACCCTCCTATTCCAGACCTACCTAGCCGATAATAGGAGAACCACACTACACGCACGAACGCTCGCGAGCTCACTGAACAGCATGCCACAAACCGAGCGGACGAGCAATGTTTGATCCGCTCTAGCATGGGGTTGAGCGGTCACAAGACGAGCTAACGAAGAGCATCAGAAACGACCGGCCCCCACCCCAGGACAACGACAACCCACGAACGGAGTCGTCGTCGTCGCAGTCGCTCGAACCCGCAACCGGCGAACCCTTCCCGGGACACCAGACGCGAGAGCATCTCGAACAAATTCCCTTCGTTCGAAATACGAGCAACCTCCCAGGCCCTGCATTGATCTTTTAGCGGAGCTTCGCTGGCCACGAACACAAAACTGTCGACCACCCTGCAGCTTGGCCAATCTCGAGGCGATCCCTCGATGGCCAGTCTGCCGGGTTGGCATCTGTAGAAACTCGATCGATAAAGAAGTTGACTCTGTATTCGAGAGCCAGTTCCCAGAAAACTTCAACGAGCTCACAGAGATCCTCTTTTGAAGAGTATCCTTTCACTAGAGCAGCCTCGACCGCCTCTGAGTCGATCAGAAGGAGAACGTCCTTATTCTTCACGTGATCCCGGAAAGTCTCGAGCGCCAGAATCGGTGCGATCATCTCGATCGGGACGATCTGGGTCTTTCTCGAGAGCCATCGATCCGATACTTCCGGTGGGATCACCTCCGTGAACTGCTTAGGGGCGTCGGCTCTCCGATCGAACATCACGGCTCCGATCCGATCGGCTCCTTCTTCCGACTTCCGAAAGTCGGGGGTGAAGCCGTCCGTGAAGATCACCACATCAGCGTTCTTCTCCGAGCGGAGTGATATCTCGCGCGGAGGACCATGAATGATGAGGCTCCGCCAGTATCGAAGCGATCGCTCCAGAGCCAGGTTGAGCTCCATGCGATCGCTCGACCGATCCTTTCGAGTACTGGCGCTCCGACAGGGGCCGGAAGAACGCCCGTCCGACCTTCCCCCAGAGCTGGCTCGCTCCGAACATGAGCTTGCCCTTGAGCTTCCCCGCAGTCCCAGGATCCAAGGTACCCGCCTCCAAGATCGCGTCTATCGAGTCCAGGAGCTCCTGCTTCCTCTGTTCCTTGATCTCAAGGACTAGGAGCTCAAGGTTGAAAGTCACGCCCAAGATCACCGGCGCCCCCGAGAGCTGGAGCTCGTCGAAGAGAGCGCCGAGCCAGAAATGGATGCACTCGGCAACGACCTTAGCCGACGGCGCCGTGAGATCGGTCTCGAACCCATACTTGTCGTCGTAAAAGTTGAAGGCGACCATGCTGAACAGCCGGACGAGAATGTCGTTGATCAGGGCCGAGCGGCGATTATAATTGTAGACCGCCGCCACGAGCCCGAAGGAGTGGCCGATCATTACGAAGAACTTGGGGATGCCATCGCCCGGATCCTTCAGGCAGATCACACTGAATTTCCTGTGCTCGGGCAAGATCGGAAGCTGCCGATAGGCTTTCCTCTCGTCGAGGACCCATCCTCGCAGAGGGCGATCGCCTCCTCTGGTGCGGAGCTCGCGCAGAACTGCCACATTCAAGTCCGTGGAGGTGAGCTCCAACTTCTCGGTGATCACCGCGGTCTGGTTGATCAGGTTGGATGTGGCGCTGTCACAGCCTCTGACCTTGTTTTTCTGAACCACTTCGAAGCGTTGTGTCGGGATCCAGTCCGAACAGTCCAAGAACTTGGAGACTTCCTCTTCGGATCCGAACGGACCCATCAAGGAGCCTTCCTTAACGTCCTCGAGCGTGGCGTTCCAAAGAGACCTTAGATTGTCAGAAACAGGAACCGACCTGCATCTGCGAAAGACCTTGGCTCGCAACTCCCAGGCCCGATCCAGAGCTTCCTGAACAGGTACTGGCCGCTGCGGCTTTGTGAACGGCGGCCAGCGTCCCGAACGCTGGATTTCGCCGACGATCGGGAAGCCGCCGCGAATGCCCTGGAGAATTTGATGATCTGCGCAGCCAATGGATGCGAAGAGCTCGTCGTAGAGCGCCACATGCGTGCAAGAGCCCAGCTGCAGATCAGCATAATCCGGAGCACCCCGAAGAAGCCGACGAAGAGGAGCGTCGGCAATAGAGCGCAAAATGCGATCGGTCTCCGGAAGCAGCGCGAGAGCGCGCTGCTGCCAAAACTGAAGGCGCTCAGAACGGCGAGCCACGAGCGCCTGTGGAGAGGAGACAATGAACTTGATGTTGTCGACGATCTTGTCGGGGAGCGCCGGCTGAACAGTGAACGGATGCCGGACCTGAAGAGACCATTGGATGGCTTGACCTGGCTCACACTCCACGTCGAGCAACGGCTTGGCGGCACCACGTTTGAGCTGATAGCCACCTGCCGCCGCCAGCCGAGCGGCAGCGGCTTGGCGATGTCCTTTCCAAGAAATCAGAGATCCTAAAGATCGCTTGCGTTCTGCTGACGGAGCCGTGAGAGCAAAGGAGGCGGCGAACTGCTGGGCCGACCTCTGAACGATTGCAGTCACGGCGATCGCCCAGGCAGCGCAGAGCTCCGAGGGGTAGACCTGAGCCGCCTTAGTCTTGAAGATCTTCTGGCCGGTTTCCGACCTGGTGAGGCCGCGAAGAGGCACATGAACGTGTTCACCTGAGCAGGCACGTGCAAGAGCAAGAAGAGCAGCATGACTGACCAGGAGCCGAGTAGGCTTCCGGTGAGGCGATCCGTACTCGCACTGATCGAAATCGACGTTGTAGAGGTGAAGACGAACTTTGAGCTGCTGAACCTGAGGGACCTGCCAGATCAGACTATCCCTGGGGTTCTCGATCGAAGCATCTCCACCTGCTTGGATCACAGCCTCGAAAAGAAGAAGAGATCGGCACAAGAGCTCATTGGCTTCGAAGAGCTGCGCCTGATGGTGCTGCTTGAGAACGCGGAGGCCAAGTGGCAACGCTTGCGATCGCAGGGGAGGAGGTCCTCCGGGCCGATCCCGAGCCACACTGAACGTGGCGCAGGGAACGCCCAAGTGCAGATAGACGATCGCCCCCATACGGCACAGCAAGAGCAGCCATTCAAAGACCTGTGCGTCCAACAAGTCGATCGCCTCGAGAACGAGCTGTCGATCGGCGGCAAGGTCTTAAGACCGTGACGCTTCCAGGCCGCAGTGAGACCAGCAGACCCGGCAAAGATCTCCAGGCACCAGGGCCCGAGCTCACGGATTGTGTCCGGATCCTGGGGCATCTCCGACCTGCAGGGGCAGCTGTCAGTCTCTGAGAAGAAACCTCATTAGCAGCCAGAGCCGGCGGCTGCTGCTGCGGGGGAGGAGAGAAATCCCCCGGTGGTCTGTCGAGCACCAGTGCCGGGGGGAGACGACCAAACTCCCCCGGCGGTGGCGCAGGAACTCAGTGATTGCCATGGTAGGGGTGATCACCCCCGCACTGCACGCAGATATGCTTGTTCTTGCACTGGTCGCCGAACCGACAGCCGAGCGAGCAGTTGAACCATGGGCAGCGGCGAGCTCCAGTGTAAGAGAAGGACATGATCTTCTTCCATTCCTTCTCTGGGACGCGATCGACCTTGTCCTTCTCTGTGAGCTTAGGCACCGAAGGCTTGTTCGGCTTGGCGTGGTCGCGAGCGCGATCGCGCTCTGCACGAGCTTGTTTGAGCAACTCCTTCTCTTTCTGCCGGCGAGCGCGATTCTTGCGAGTCTTGGCCTCATTCTTCGGGGGCGTTGGCGGCGGGGACCTCGAGCGAGGCCGCTTCGGAGGAGTAGCGAACTCGTGCTCGACCTGACGGAACTTCTCAAGTTCTGCGGTGGAGCGAGCGTCGTTCCAGAGCTGCTTGTGGTTCTTGAGGACCTCGCAGAGAGCCTGAGAGAACGTGGGGAAGTCCTTGCGCTTGTCGTTGTTGAGCTTGTAAACCTTCTTCCTGATCAAGGAATCAGCCGCAAGGAGAACCGCGAGACCACGATTCTCATGGCGCCATTCCTCAAGTTCCGAGAGGTACCGGAGGGGCCCCGAGTCAAAAGTGAACTCGCAGATGTTGAGGTACTCGAGCGCCACGAAGAAAGAGTGGAGGCGGTCCATGACCTCTGTTTCCGAGGCGACCGCCACCTTGTTGTCGAGCTGGACCACCTTCAGGAGATCCTCTGAGGTCTTGGAGAAACCAGGTGTTTGCACCATGCGGTCCGAGCGAGAGCGCATCTCAGCGACCTCGTAGAACGCGACCGCCCCATGGACCATATAGTCACGGTGGATCCTCTCGACGAACTTGCGGTGCGGCTCGCGCATGTAGGTGAGGATGATGTCGGGGTGCTGAGTGACAAAGAGCTCGCGAAACTCAGCATGATCTTCTCCAGGAATCTCTGGTATTTTGGATGGATCCTCCTCCATCTTGGCCCGCCGAGAGGCGACGTGTTCTTGCAGAACTGAGGCTGACTTCCAGATCGCGGTCAGGAGCGTGAGAGAGAGCTCCTGAGCCGGACCATCGGCCCCGAACTGAGTGTCGTCTCCAACGATAGCACGGAGCGTCGCCTTCACCGACGCGATGGAGTCCCCGAGCATGGACATGCGCTCGACAGAGAGCATGCCTTTATCGGCCATGAGAAGGCATAGGTCCTCCGGGAGCTTCTGCCGGCCAAAGATCTGGCGCAAGGCGAGCTCGGGGGTCTTGTCCTTATTCGGGTAGACCGTGCGGTCGACCATGGCCGATCAACACAAAAGAGCTTCAAACACAGCTTGAGCGAGCTTCGAGAGACTCCCTCAGATGCAAAGAAGGTGCGAGCAGGCACAGCAAAGCTCAGAATTTTAGACCTTAAAGGCGAGAGCCACGTCTGGCCGAGCCTTAGCGCACAGTTTGCAAAAGAGCTTAGGGTCGGGCAGAACAGACCCGATGTGTGTGAATTCGGGCGTGATCGCGCGTTTGCACGCGATCTCTTCCACAGAGTCTGCCGAACACACATGAAAACGATAATGTTGGATACCGATTAACAAACCCCCCCCCCCCCCCCCCCCCCCCGCTGTCAAGGTTAGCCCGCTTGAACTTGTTCATGGGTTCAAGTTTTTCCCGCCCCCCCCCCGATTATGTGGGGATGGGGTTACTTATTAAGTAATAGAGAGTAGTTAGTAAAGTATTGCAGTCGTACAATAGGAGTAGAGTATTATAGTAGTAGTACAGTAGTATAGTATAGTAGTAGTACAGTAGTATAGTAGTATTACAGTAGTATAGTAGTTGTACAGTAGTACAGTAGTAGTACAGTAGTATAGTAGTATTACAGTAGTATAATAGTAGAACAGTAGTATAGTAGTAGTACAGTAGTATTACAGTAGTATAATAGTAGAACAGTAGTATAGTAGTAGTACAGTAGTTTAGTAGTAGTATTGAAGTCTAGTAATAGAAACAGTACAGTAGTATAGTATTATTACAATAGGGGGTTGGGGGTTTGAAGGGGTTCAAGGACTTGAGGGGGTTGAGGGGGTTGGGGGTTCAAATGTGGCCGGCCACCACCTGTTTCTGCCAGCAAAAGATATCACCGAAATCCCAGGGATCCCAAGGCCAGGGATCTGTGACCCTTCCATCTCAAATCTTCGGGCTTTCTAGGTCAAAGCCAAGGGCCTGCAAATCCCTGGTCCCGGGCCGGACCCTGTTAATCGGGGGGGGTTTCCTGCTATTCGGGGGGGTTCGGGGCCTGCAAAGGGGCAGCCTTGGAAAACTTGACAAACCTACTCTTTTTATATACGGTTTAATTAGGGAACCACTTGTTTCTGGCAGCAGAAGATATCACCGAAATCGCAGGGATCCCAAGGCCAGGGATCTCTGAGCCTTCCATCTCAAAGCTTCGGGCTTTCTAGGTCAAAGCAAAGGGCCTGCAAATCCCTGGTCCCGGGCCGGACCCTGTTAATCGGGGGGGGTTTCCTGCTATTCGGGTGGGGTCGGGGCCTGCAAAGGGGCAGCCTTGGAAAACTTGACAAACCTACTCTTTTTAAATACGGTTTAATTAGGGAACCACCTGTTTCTGGCAGCAGAAGATATCACCGAAATCCCAGGGATCCCAAGGCCAGGGATCTCTGAGCCTTCCATCTCAAAGCTTCGGGCTTTCTAGGTCAAAGCAAAGGGCCTGCAAATCCCTGGTCCCGGGCCGGACCCTGTTAATCGGGGGGGGTTTCCTGCTATTCGGGGGCGGTCGGGGCCTGCAAAGGGGCAGCCTTGGAAAACTTGACAAACCTACTCTTTTTAAATACGGTTTAATTAGGGAACCACCTGTTTCTGGCAGCACAAGATACCACCGAAATCCCAGGGATCCCAAGGCCAGGGATCTCTGACCCTTCCATCTCAAAGCTTCGGGCTTTCTAGGTCAAAGCAAAGGGTCTGCAAATCCCTGGTCCCGGGCCGGACCCTGTTAATCGGGGGGGGTTTCCTGCTATTCGGGGGGGGTCGGGGCCTGCAAAGGGGCAGCCTTGGAAAACTTGACAAACCTACTCTTTTTATATACGGTTTAATTAGGGAACCACCTGTTTCTGCCAGCAGAAGATATCACGGAAATCCCAGGGATCCAAAGGCCAGGGATCTCTGACCCTTCCATCTCAAAGCTTCGGGCTTTCTAGGTCAAAGCAAAGCCCTGGTCCCGGACATGAGCTGGTCTAATGAGGAAAAGTCTGCCATCATGAGTTCTTTACGGTTTAGGCTTCAGGGTTTGGGGTTTAGGGTTAAGTCATAAGCCTCTAAATCCCCTAAATCCTTATTTCGGGGATGGCCCCGTCTAATCGGGGGGGGTTTAAATGAGCTCCGATACTATAGGGGTGGGGTCTAATGGACTTCTTCATTAAGCCCATGACATGCCCGGGACGGCCCCGTCTAATCCGGGGGGGTATCTTAATCGGTAAACGACATTAGTCGTAACTAGAGCCTTTGACTGGGACCTTGACAAAGAACTCAGTCAAAGAAAGATCCCTGTCCTCTGCGTCCTCGATCGTGTCATCTTCTTGAGCACAGAGGGGCACGAACTCGCGCGAGACCTCCTGCACCAGCTCTTTGATCATTTTGGCTGGAAGAGAGGACCTCGAGCGTGTGTACTTCAGAACGAGCGGGCCCGGGTTCTTCCAGTTCGCCTGAACCCCGATCTCCTGCTCCGATCGTTCACAATGGACCGCTAGATCGAGCATAGTTACTCGAGCAGAATGCCAAGTAAGATCGGTGACTTTGTCCAGGAACTCTCTTGCGACTCCACACTCCTGCCCTGCGAGCCAGACCAAGTGGTGGAGCCACTGGAGAGAGCGAGCGTAGTCAGGGGGAGTCTGGCGCCAGCGATCCTTTGTGTCGAGCTCGGGAATCCAGAAGTCGCGTTCCACGAGCGGGAATTGCGCGTCGAACAAGTCACTTCCGATCTTGAACCAAGCCACTTTCGAGAAGGCAACGTCCGGCACCATGAACTTGGTGCCGCGCCGCTTTCTCTCAGTCTTGGTCTGCCAGGAGATCCCGAACAGACCGTCGGGTTTGACCTCCAGTTCGTGAGGCTTCACGTGGATCGCGTCGTCAAAGCGGAGCGACGCGAAGATCATGCAGAGGACCCACCAAAGGAACACCCGAGCCGGTACAGGGTGAGCTTCGTTGGCGACAAAGCGCTCCATCGCTTGGACCAGCTCGAGCGGGAAAGCGATCGCTTCCTTCAGCGGCCGCCCCCGCTGCGTGAAGATTTCCTTCTCGAGTGCCTTGAGCTCCGCCGTCTCGATGGAAGGGAGCTTGAGGTTGATCCTAAAAGCCACCCATTTTAGAGCCATGCGGAGTGAAGGAAGAACAGTTGGGCCGCATTCCCGCGAGTCGAGCTCCATGGCGTACTTCAAGATCTTGTCATCCGAGATAGGGTAGAGGGGGAGCGGCACGTGCCGAGCCCACAGCTCGAACTTCTCGAACCTTCGAATGTGGTTTGCCATGGTAGAAGGCGCCCCCGAGGTGAAAACCAACAACCGAAGGCGAGCACGTTCCTCTTCTGAAAGGATCCCTTCAGCATCGTGGACCCCTTCGGGCCGAGCATGTTCGCCGGCCCGATCGGCGATCGCCTTCAGGCGCTTAGCCCATTTCTGCTTCTCGGCGTTCTCTAAGTCGAGCAGTGGAGTCGCCGAGGGAGAAGAAGAGCTTGCCGGCAGCCGCGGTCTAGCCGAGGGAGCCAGAACTGGTGCAGCTAGGGCTCGAACGGCCATCTCTCGCTGAAAGTGTGCGATCGATTTTGCAGACCGCTCTCTAGGCACCTTGGAGCAGCGAGCAAAGCCCATCTGGTAGCCGAGAGACTCGACGAAGAGCGATTCCGCTGCCTTTACGAACACCCAATACTGCTCGAGCATTTGGGTCCTTGGAGCCAGGAGGTCGTGCTCCGACTTAGCCGAGCTGGCCGTCCAGTTGAGAGACATTGCGGCGAACTGCTCGGGCGTCCCGGCGTCCATCGAAAGGACGAATGGGATCTCCGCAAGCCGAGTCGCCACGATCGCCTGGCGAAACCCATGGTCGAAACACGGGTAAGCATGGATCTTCGCTGTCCAGCGATCGGCTGGCGCTGCTTCCCGCAACATCCTGCCGAGCCAAAACTTAGCGAAAGAAGAAAAAGAAGATCGGCATCATGAGCATCGTCGTCGCCGCGCCCCGACCAACCTTCCCGGCCAACCGAACGGCACGACGAACGACGAACGACATGACTGCCATGCACTGTGAACATGTTGCACTGAACCGGCAAGAGAGGGGGAGAAAGAGCATCACCAGTGAAAACATGTGCAGAACTGCTACCTGTTCTCTGGCGGCCTTCCGAGAATTTTTCGCCGGAGCGGGAGCGATCGTGGCTCCAAAATGCGAGCGAGAACTTAAATCGCCTTCCCGGCATCTTGGGTGAACACCCTAGGATCAAAACGGGTGAGCACCTCCGCGCTTGGCCTCGATCACGGCGTGCGGTGCGGCCTGAACGAGGTCGGCTCCCCTGATGGAGCCAGCAAGTTCTCCGGCTCGGCCTCTTCGACCACGACCGTGGAGGACTGAGCTGCCGACGAGGCGGCGTGACCAGCCGGGTTGTGGTACGTGTCGGCCAGCTCGGCGAACTGTGCCGGTGTGAGCTTTGCCGTAGAGCGGGCAAAGGAACGATCCTGCCGAGCATCGTCCCTGGCAGCATCGATCATGTGCCCACGGGTGCCCTCCTCCTCGTTCTGATCGTAGTCCACCGGCTGAACAGGTGGACGATCTTCGGGGGCGAGCGCCCGGGACTCCATCTCCGCCCGATTGCGATTGCGAACTGCAATCTGAGAAGTCTCCGGCACGGCGGTGTCAGAGCTGACTGCCGCCTGCCGCCAAGCCCCTTGAGCAAGAGCAGGTGGGCCGAACGGCAGCGGAGAAGCCGACTCCTGAGTGTGGGTCATCTCGGCGAGCGCCGCCCTTGAGACCACGGCCCCCTGCATCACGTAGAGCTTGCTCTCGCACTGCACGTGGAAGTTGCCATGATCAAGGCCACCCACGAACGAGACCAACACGCCGATATTGGCATAGTCCGTGGTGAGAGCATTGTGCCACCAGTTTTGGTGAGCGGCCGCCAGCTGAGCGAACTGCTCAGTTTGCTCAGGCCCCTCCACCCGTGCCCGCTGATCACGGCACCGGGTGATGGCCTGAATGAGCGTAGGCCCGCTGATGTGGGAGACCGTCAACCACGTCGCCGGGACCGAAGTGCGAGCGCACTTCAAGTCCATGCGATTGTTGGCATCCCGATAGCGGAATTCCAGCCGATCGGCGTCATTCCCGACCGCATCCTCCGAAGAGCGGCTGCACACTCGGAGCTCGAACCTCGAGCGGGCATGATCTCCAGCCACGACCACGCCCTGAGGGCCCACAGAGTATGTGCGACCGCCACACTCGAAAGAGAAGACGGAGCACTTCCAACCGGTGAAAGCGGCCACCACGACCGAGAGCCGCACCCGACCACGGCAAACATCGCGGATCAGCAGCTCATCAGCGAACTGCTGCTGAACCGACAGATCGGAGTCGGCACGGTATCCCCTCAGGATCCAGTGAAAGAGGATCTCATTGCCATTGTACACCTTGATGTCGGTGTACGATGGCGACGTGTCCCTGAGCACCGGCCACGAGAAAGGCTGAAAAGCCTCGTGGGCGAGTGCCTTGGCGGTCTGAGCAGACCAGTCTCCACAGGGAACTCCTGTCGTAG